CAGACACTTCTTCATACTGCATCCTTCTCTAATGTTTATTCTGCAGCTAGAAGCTGGGGGAGTGTGTGAATGATCAGGAGACAGATTAAGGAGAAGGGGCTGAAGAGGAGGCTCACTGGCTGCAGCTGGGTTGAGGTCCAGGACAAGGCCCATCCATGTCTTGTTCTATGGAGACTCGAAGCTCGCCTGGAGTTATACTAATGATGATGAACATTGCCTTCTATGATTGTGGAAACGCGTGTGAAGGACTGGTGCTTCTTTGGTGACTGGTGGAATGTTTATAGGACACCTAGACCGACCGACGGAGTTAGTAAGAATTTCGTGTTCATCAGGTTAAACAATAAGAAGAATGATATGGGTGGACTTGAACTTGCAGCCTTGCAGGATAGCAAGAGACCAGGATCCCAGGACTAAACAGCCAACGGGAACTGCAGAGCAGCCGATATTAGAAGAAAGATGGCCTCATAAGGGATGAACAAAGATGATGGCTAGATGAATGAATTATTTTTCAACCAGAGGATGATGTTGCAATCATGGAAGAACTGTAACTTGAAGTTTCCAGGGTGGTGATTGGCTTCAAGCTGCCACAGAATTATTTTTATTTTTATTTTATTTTTTGTCTAGCTGTTCAAGAACTGTTGGACAGGACAACAAGAAATTTTCGCAACAAACTGGCATCAGGTGTTAATATGGATAAGAAAATCGTTCAAACAACTCATTTGCCGAGTAGGACATTAAGCTACTGGAGATACGCTGATCAAGCTATTCTCCATACTCTGAAATAAACATTTCGGATATTGGTTAGAGTGTGTACAGAATTAGTACTAGCGTACTGCTGGTTTTTTGAATTCTTAGAATTAGTGGATGACTTTCGTCTAAATTTCGCCCCTGGAAACAAAAAGCAGTATAAAGTTACAAAATCTGGCCAACGATCGAAAGAATTTCTACAGAACAAGCGTACACAGCATGTTGATAGAATTAGATCAAGACCAACGTCATCAGTTTACCCAAACATGGATGTTTGTTTCAACGAGATCATCCAAGTCAGAAGCAGAAGGTTCATGACAGAAAATTGCCCAGAGTTATTAATCCACCGGCCCACTCAAGGATTTGAACAAAGAAAAGGCTACAAAAAAGTAATTTTCTAGCTCATGCATGCGACATGTACTTTTTATGGTTCCGCACTAATTAAGCAATACACTAAGAGCATGGTATTCTTCCCAATAAAACATCAAAACTACAAAGAGCACAAGAACCTACCGTTACAACAATGGCGGTTTAGCTTGTGCTTTTCTTGCATTGCTAAGTCAGAAATCTCAGCTTGCTGTCTCGACCTACAACTTCTATCAACAGAATGGAAGGTTTCAGGGACTGCCTGCTGCTTGTATGCCACCAGCAGAGTAACCAACCTCTACTGCACCGACTCCCCTCAACCGATTCTACACTGAGCTCATGGCGCGAGACATTGCAGCAATCACTTTCTCCCTTGTTTGCTGTTCGGAGCCAGGGCACTTGATGATAAAGGAATGCACTACCGTTCCATTGTTGCCTGTGAGTTTCGACTCCCCTACCCGGACGTCCGCCTCTTCAAACGCTTCAAAGACCTTCTTTACCGGATGGTTCTCCAATGGAGACATAACTCGAACCAGAACCTCGTCTTGCACCACCTGGATGTCAACCTCTGGTCTAGGGGCTCGCTCCCTTGGATCCACCATACCAGACTCAAGAAATCGTTCTCTCTCCGTCTCCATATCTTTGAGCTTCTTCTGAAGGTCAGTGATGTATGCTATTGCATCGCCCAGCAGGGAAGCCTTGTCCATTTTCGAGATGTTGGGCACAACGGCTCTCAACGCATAGAACCGCTGGTTGAGCTTCTCCCTCCTTTGACGCTCAGCCTCAACATGATTCAGCGGCTCCTCTCTCCCATTCGCAGGCTTTCTTCCCCTCTTCCTTGGCCGTCGGTCCTCTATGACAGGTGTTGTCCCTTCCTCTTTACACAAGCCATTCACCTCTGAACTATCTCCATCAAGAACAGCTGCTCTTGTAACCAGGACACCAGACTTGGAACTGGTCCCTGCACTAAAATCTATTTGCCTAGGCGCCTGTGGCTGCAGCTGTTGCTGGTTGACCATCTGCAGCGGCTTCACTAGCTGTGGTGGTTTCTGAAGAAGTGGTAGTTTCTGGAGCTGAGGTGCTTTCTGAAGCTGAAACTGTGTTGTAGTGGAGCTGTCCGCGGTTCTATTGTTGCCGTGTGTAGCTTCATTACTCACTATCAGTATACCATTGCCAAACTTCTGCTGGTGAGAATTCAGGCCCCGGGCCTGACTCCAAGTGAAACTCTGCAATCCTTTCTGGACATTGGGAAGCAATGAGCTCCCTCCACCAGCAGTCCTCTGTTCCCACGGCCTTTCATCTACTTTCGATACCCCAATCACTGGCCCTGCTGAAGACCGACCAAGGTTCAAATCCTTGCCAAAAATCTTTGCCAGACCTGGTGACCTCTCAATGTGACCATTTCCTTCACGACTCGGGATTATATCCTTATTGCCACCTGTCCCCGCAAAGACAGACTTTATGGTCTGGAGAGTGTCAGAACTCTCAGCCACCTGCTGCATCGAACCCAGCTCAAGCACACCAGTCTCAAATGGCACTAGCAAGATAGTTCTAAATCCTGCTGTGCTTGCAAGGTATCCCCGGTAACAGTAATTAGCTGGGAATACATTGCGCTCAGAATTGGGAACCCAGAGAGGGAGGCCAGCTGCAAAAACTTGACCAGGAGCACCGGCACGACGCGGAAACGCGAAGTACATAGATGCTAGGAAGAACATTTCTGTATCTGTCACCTGACCAATAGTGGGAGCATAATCCTCCTCATCAGCACCACCAAATGCTTTGTGCAACCGCTGCAGTACACGCTTCCGCATCCGCTGTTTGGCATCATCATTGCCTGCAGAAGCAGCAGCTGCCAACTCAGCATCATTGGGTTCACGGCAAGAGCCATCACCCCACCCAAGGACAAGATCACCAGACTTTGTGCGTGAAAGCTGCCAGAAGATGGCGTAGTTCCAACCAGCACCAGGATGCTCTGATTCGATAAGCTCCTGCAGTTTATTTTGCAAGTCCACAGGTGACGATGCAGCAACAAGACCCTCAGATATGGTACCGCCCCCTTTTGTCAAGTATGCAAATGCATCTCTTCCTAGCACAGTGGTGCTGAGGTCTCGGTCCTCCTCAGTCCATGCCCCACCATTTCCTCCATTGGCACCGTCCTCCTCAACCTCCATCTTCATCACCATAAGACCTACTCAAAAAAGTATAGGTCAAGTCAAAAGGCACTAAATACATAAATCTTTTGCTGCATCTATTGGCTACCAAACTGATCAGGGTGAATGAAGTCTATTTAGATTACAGGGGAAATAAAATTTTACCGCACTTATGGCTACAGGGGTGAACTTAAAACAAAACAGAACTAAGCTCTGAACCACCATTCCAGGTAAACACACACTGACATGCATCCCAAACTGTAAGCAAAAATTCGTAAAGACCTGGTAGTTGGTACTTAGTACCGGTATCCTTCTGATTCACCGCT